CTAGAATCTGCATCTTCATATGGAAATGGACCTCAGAGTTTAATTTATGTTTAAATACTGGAATACTTCCCAGATAACCTTCTGCATTATTTCTTACGGGTTGGAAACCCCTCACTCTAAATGCCTACAGATTGAATCAGTATTGCTAAATTGTTTCAGTACTCTCTTTTGTAAAATGATAGCTTTAATCTAAAGAATGTGTCTACAAATGCAGTTTTGCTTAGGTCTGCCATCATCCTGAATGTATATTTAGTTTTTCTTTAGTATCCTATAGAATTGTTACCTTTAGCCCATTACATTTCTCCTGCAGTAAACCAGGTAAATGTATACTTTTACCCATTTTAGATTAATTTCAATAAATTCCTAATTGTTTGCGAGACAAGAAGGAGAGGCATGGATATATGAGATATAAGTAAGTAAATATGGAAAATCAGAGTAACTTTGTGGAAGACAATTATGCTACTTATAGCTATCATAAGTTATAAGCCCATCAGTCATTGAGACAGAGGAAATTAAGCTGTCAGGGGATTCTCCTGTATGTTCCTGGATTAAAAAAAAAAGATGTAATGAGCACAGAATGAAATCTTTTTGAAACTGTTGTATTCATATTGTGCTAAGATAATTCCTGATGCAGTCTCATTGCTCCTCTATGGTTATATATACCAGCAACAACTTTGAGACATGAAATTAAAAGCATATGTGTCTTTACAAGAGCAATTTAAGTCATCATCATTATATAACTGTAAACCTTCCCCATTTCCACTTGTGCTTGCCTAGAGGAACCACTCAGAAAGTATCAACCCCTCTACCTTGTCACTCATGCAAGGCTCTGTAGACAGATTCTTATTTTGGGAAACCTTTTAAAGCAGAAAGATCATGAATTACTTTGTTTCAAAGGAAAGCAAGGTCATAGCTTCTGGCAAGCAAAAGCCCAAAGAGCCCAAACTGCGAGTTCTTGTGAGGTCTGGGGGCAGCTTGGCTCTTTGGCTGTTGTTTGAGGGCTTTAATCGGCTTCGTTTTTGGATGGCACACAGTGTGTATATTTTTTGCTCAGTGGACAGTCTGAGCTTTCTTGATTTTATTTATTTATTTTTTTACCAATTGGATTTTGTGTACTGTTCCTAATTTCAAAATCACAGAGAATGAGAAAAATTTTGCAGGAAACTCTAGTGACATGTGCAAATGGAGCTGCATGTTCGGTGGTCCTCTGACACAGGGGAGCAGCAGATGAATATTATGCCTGCTTTGATACCATGATCCATTAAAGCCCTGAACAATAATGCATAGATAAAGCTCAAAATTGTTTAAAGGCATCAGTTTTTATTCCCTTCCCTGAGTCATACTGTTTTAAAGGTTATTTTTGAGTTGGCTTTTAGAATTTGTTTCAGCTGGTATCATTTGTTCTTTGGGAGGAGGTGTTTGTTCACTGTAGAACAGATGTCTGCTCTGCACTGGTGAAGACTTGTCTCATCTTCTGCAAGGAGTGATGGCAGTGGTAGTAGCATATAGTCCACCTCAATAGGCAGGTAAGGGGCAAGCCGTATAGAAAGCGTTATCCCGAGGCCAAACAGAATCACAGAATGGTTGAGGTTGGAAGGGATCTTCTAGATATCATCTAGTCCAACCCCCACCCTGCTCCAGCAAGGCCGCCTAGAGCAGGGGGCACAGGGGGGCATCCAGGGGGGTTTGGAGAAGGAGACTCCACAGCCTCTCTGGGCAGCCTGTTCCAGGGCTCTGCCACCCTCGTGGTAAAGTTGTTCTTCCTCACGCTCAGGTGAAACTGCCTCTGTTTCAGTTTGTACCCGTTGCCTCTTGTCCTCTTGCTGGGCACCACTGAAAAGGTTGTGGCCCCATCTTCCTGGCAGCCTCCCCTAAGATACCAGTATTGATGAGATCTCCCCTATTTATGCTTAGATAGAGCTTCTCCCAGTAGAAGTCATGTCGCTACTTTAGACTGTAGCTATTTCACATGAGACAGTAGAAGCAAATTATTTGTGAGGCTTCACTGATCAGTAAGAAAAAGAATATTTTGTGTGAGGTGAAAATGCTTCTCTTAAGTTGTTGTCAATGGCAAATATTGAAATGTGATTAGTTGTGGGCCTGTTTTATAGTATGGCAGTGCATTATGTGAAATCTTTGGTGAGACATTTTATTAGATATATAAGCAGGTGTGCATTTTTCAGTTTAATCATTTCAAAAGTAAATCCCAGCTGGTGCTTGGGAAATTCGGCGGCGCAGTTGACACTCCTGAGAATTTGTGGTTTGTTTCTTAAAGTTCAAGCTGGCAGTTTAACAGCTAAGAAATGCAGTTTCCTTGAGGTGTGCTGTATAACATAGCTAATGACAAAATGTGAAAAGGATTTAGTCCAGTATTTCACATTTAAGTGGAAATGTTTGAATCCACATTAGTTCACTGGAAGCTGATTAAAACAAGAATCTAATATTCCTGTTGTGTTTATGCCCATGGCTGAAAGGAGTAAATGTGACAGGTTCAAAGGAATTAAGTAGCTATAGTGCCATAATTGTTTGGGGTTATTTTGATCTTTCAGATTTTTTTTTTTTTTTTGCAATTTCTTAGAAACAAAAAGAAAATACAACGTAGCTGTGTCTGTGTAGCACTATTCTTGCTTTGACATGTGAATCATATAATCAAGTTATTCTGGGGACTGAACTACCCTAGACTTGCTGGATTATAGCAAATCATTTCAGTTGTAGGAGGGGAAAAAAAAAAAAACAGCTAACAAGTTGATTCTTCAGATAAATGATTTTGGTGTTTGTCTTGTGGAAACTATAGCTCTGGATCAGTTCCCAGTAATACAGTTCTGATTTCAGCTCCCTCAGTTGTGCAGCCACTTGTCTGCAACAACCATTTTAGTGTATGTATCTGATGTGTAGAAAGGAAAGAGACTTTACCTAAAATGAAAGCAAAATTGCACAGAACTACTGAGAATGCCCAGATTTTCCACCTTTTGTCAGCTGTTCTATTACAATGTGATAGATTTTTTTTTTAAAATGTATTTTTCACTAATTGTAGTAGGTTTTTAACCCACATTAGCACTGTTTAATGATTTTACCATTTGTAATGTGGATCAGGACTCCCAAACAGTGATAGAGAAGCTTATTTTATGAATATTGGGAGGTTATTTGGCAGGGAGAAGTTGTTACTCTAATTCAGATTTTGCTCTGTGTGTGAGATGCAGGGTAGTCATTGTGAGACCATTTGGGGAGGATCTCATCTCCCACAGTCAAGTTTAAAACATCGTGCTCTGCAGTGGGCCTAAAAGCCATGAACTGGCTCTTCCCTCAGTATTGATAGTCTTGATTTTTGTGTATTTTTGCCTTAGTGGCATCACTGCTAGTTTTGGTCATTTTTAATACATTTTCAAAACTGAGGAGCTGCAGAGCTCCACTACCCATGAACTATTAGTTCCTAGTTATGCTTTACGGGTCTGTCTTCTCTTTGTGATGGGCTCGTGTGGAAATGTAGTATGTGGTGTTTGCAATAGAGATTTATTTCATGTTCATAGAGGTTTTTCTGTTAAATGACTGGATGCTACTGGAAGGTGGAAAACCAAACAATTTGCTTTCAAGCCAAACTGTATCTATGAAACTTTGTATGGAGTAGACCCGATTCCTAAATATTGCTATAAAACCTGTGTTGCATTGCTGTATATCCCTTCTTTTTATTAATCTTTCTACATGTGATGTTGCAGCTTTTCATTTAGAAGGGTGTTCAGTTCGACTTTATAAATAATTGCTCTTCACGTTTAATTCAGGATTACATTTAGTTTAAGCTCTTAAAGCTGAAGTCCACCTTAAAGCACATTTATGATGGTGAGCTGAAATGACATTTGAGTTATTAATATGTAATGACATACAGAAAGGCAGCTTTGCTTTTCACAAATACTTTATGCTGAATGCGGTGGTTCTGAGCTTCTCAGTAACATGGTAACATGGAAAAAAACTTGCATTTCACTGCCCTAGTTATGAAGAATGTACTTATTCTTGTGATAGCAAAATTCAATTTTATGTCAGCAATGCACTGTGATTAAGGAGAGAAGGAGAGCTGTCAGAAGGGGTGTTTGGGAATGAGCTCAGCAAGGATCTCTCTGTCCTTGGGCTTCTCTAGAAGATATTTTCCACCAAAATGCTGCTGCTCTCAAGTCTTCTCTCCTGGCGCTCAGATCTCCCTTTGAGAACCGGCAGTCATTCCAGCTCTAATCCATGCTCTGGGAGAGGAGAGCCCTCTGATGTTGAGGGCTCAAGGAGAGCTTTCCGTGACCCTGTTCCTGATGCCCATTTTGCTGAAACTTAAGCTGGCTCTTAGAATCTTTTGTTGAATCTTAAGCTCCCTTAGAGAGAGAAGGGAGAGCCCCCTTGCTTTCTGGAGGGGGCTGATAGCTTGCCTGCCTCTAGTCCATCTTATTTTTCCCTGCATGTTTTATTAAAAAAAAGATTTTCATGAAGGAAATATATGTGTTGAATTACTTCACATTACTCAAGAGCATGTAGTTGGAATAGATATGAAAACCTCTATACAGATCACTCTTACGTGATGTTTATTTTGGCAGTGTTTTTTTTCCTGTGCTGTTCAACAAACTCCACTTCCTTTACTTGTCCCCTGTATCACTGCTGCCCTTGTACAGAGGCACTGCTGTTAAATTCCTAAATTCCTGTTCTGCTCCTCACAGTGCTCATTGTCAGGAAGGAAAGTGCTCGCTTTGGGCTTCTGGAACAGGAGGGAAAGGGCAGCAGGCGAATCAACGTCCCCAAACAGAACTGAAGGTTTGCTAGAGTCTTTCAGTAATAAGGAGCTCTATTCAGTTCAGGAAGATGGCAGTGCCTAATTGAAACGTTTGATTGCATGGCTACTGATCCAGGCTTGTTTGTCGTTCTGGGCTTTGCTTCTGTGGTTGTTGGCATGACTATTTAACCACTGAATGAAGTTGAATGAACACTGTTGAGTTGCAGTGGCTCAACTGTCCATTTAAATTTCACAGGTAGAGGAGGATGATGATGATGAGTCGCGAGAAGAAGAGAAGGAAGACCTGAAAAGCTATTCAAGAAGAAAGATCGTTTCCAACTGGAGCCGCTATGAGGATGCAGAAAGAGAGGGACAGAAAGACAGTGCAGAGTCTCAGAGAGGAGCAGACTTCCATGTCTTGCTTAGCTCAGCAGGTAAGTGTTTTGTACTCTGTATACGGACTTTCCAATTTTGCATTTTGAAACTTTGCTGTAGTTCTGGCTGTTCTAGACACTGCAATGAGATGCTAGAATACAGTTTGTGTCTGCAAGAGTAAATAACGCCACTGACTGGGAGTGTTCAGCATGTTCATGGCAGCAACCATGCCACAGACATGTTTCCCAAGCTGTAGTATACTGGGGATAAAAGAGGCAGGCGCCCTTAAACCTTTTTTTAAACAAAGATCAGTTGTTTTTCCATCTTTAAAGGGCATACTAAAAGAAACAGTAGGGGGGCAGGCTTTAGTTATTTATGTATTCATTCTTTTTAAACTATACATGATTAGAGCTGTTGTGCAAAAGAGTAAAATTATTTTACAAAGTGTCGATGTGTTAGAAGACTTCTGTGAAAAGCAATAAATAATCTCTTTTTTTTTGTGTAGCCTGCAAGCTTGGGATGGTTATATTTGTCTAGATATATTCTTTTCTTTTTGTTTTCTTTTAACCTCATGTTTTGCTTTGAAGAGAGATTTTTAAAGTCGTTTATTATGCAAACACACTTATGTCTAGAAGAAAATGATTGTGATATGAATAACTGGAATATGAAGGCAAAACAGTTGAAATGGTTATGTAGGGGAAAATACAGTGAACATTTTATATGCTTTTGAACAGGAGCGATAATTGAAAGAATTATTACTGACCAGCTCTGTTTATTACCATACTCTGAATTAGAATGGTCTTAAAGTTAATATTTCCGATGAAATGTTATATTTTGGTCTGGTACAGACTGTATGAGTTCTTGGCAATGAAATCTGTCAGCTTTTGTTTGCATCGTTATACTCGGTTACAGATAATATCTGGAAAGAGAGCAGATCATTAAAAGTGTTTGATAAACACCATGGAAAATTCATTTTAAAACACTGAACCTTCACTTTTAGGATTAGAAATGCAGTTCTCACTTGCTAGCTAATTCAAGCTGTTGACTTTGTAGTGTAGATAACATTGTTTAGATACTAGTGGATGAACAAAATCATGCTTGGCTGAAGTAGAAGGAAAATGCGTAGCGCTCTGAAATGAACACTTGCAAAAAAGAACATAAACTTAGGCTGCAGTAAGAATTTTTGTGATTAACTCTTTCCGTCTCATTCACAATCTACCTGAAAAGAAAGACTTTTCTTTTGTCATAGCCAGACTATAAATCATATTGAATAATATGTTTTTTCTTCACCGTAATCAGGTGAATACTCAAAACTCTTCCAGACTGAAAGATGTGCTGCTGCAAGGTACTAGACAAAGGTTTTAGAAGGTCAGATGTTGAGAGGATTCAGAGCTGGTCTCAGGCTACCAAGAACACGTGCGGTGCTATGTTGCAGTTGGAGCTGGCCTTTGGACTGACATATCCGATAGTGTTCGAGTGTGTGTGTGTGTGTGTGTATGAGTGTGTGTAAGAGTTGCTGAAGTTCAGAATTTAGCTGAGCAAGCAAAGCTTGTATGTCTAGTTACTACAAAAGGAAAATGTCGCCTTTTTCCTTCCTGTCCTGTATAGAAAGAAGGTAGTCAGGAAAGTATTACTGAGTTTGAGGGTGAAGAAAGTGTTTAATCTAATTCCCTCTATTTGTAACATTAGTAATTTTAAAATTTGTCAAGTGAGGGGGAAAAATCACGTTTAAAGGACGGTGTATCTGAAAGTACAGTTTGGCACGAACACAGAAATACATGAGATTTCTGTAACTGAGAGTTGCATTGATTTTTATTTTTAACTTCTGATTAATCCAGTAGAATCAGAGCTGGGTCTTCTGTCATTTTAAAATAAGATCCCGTTTAATGTCATACCTTGTGACTTAACATTGACCCCAATTTTTACAAGTCCAGTATAGTATGGTTCACTTGCCTTTTACAGGTATCAGTGAAGCTAACTGCTGCTGATATTTTTCTTTTTTTTTTTTTAAAAAAAAAGGATTATTAAACTCTTTCGACTCAACTGAGACATCTCATCTAGCACTTGAAAGTTAATTAGTGTGTTGCATTATTATACAAGTTGGTTCTGAGATTCTTTTTTTTTCATTTGTTACTGATGGAAAAATAGGGTAGCGTTAGAACTTAAAGTAGCTCAATACTTTATTTCTTCTGCGAGCCAATGAAAACTTGGGATGTCATGTTTGCTGCTAAATTAGAAAGGCACTTGGAAAAAAATATCCCTTGGATTAGAAAGATGCCATTGGTTACTGTCCTGTGGATGTCCACCTTTTGTGTTTAAACTACTGCAGGTGGTGATTTCAAGCGTGCAGTGAAAGTTTGCCTCCCTCAGTTCTTGGATTTATTTGAAAATTATTTCAATAGTATTTGTTTTGTACTTGTTATCTTCTTAATTCTCTGCGATATCATATGTGTTTACAGAGAGACATATATAGTGCATTAATTTAAATAATGCACATCTTCCCATTTCCCATTTAAATTTTTTTCTGGTATGTAATTTAAAATATTACTCCAGCCTTATGGCAGAGCCATAGTTTGTTTATTTTATAATCAGGAATGTCTTCGTGCTCTTCCTCCTGATAATATTCAAAAAAAAAAATCTAAAAGGATAAGTCAGACTGACTGTAAAGCAGCATGGTGCAAGGTTTTCTTTCGCAGTTACCTTTTAACACCCATTCATGGCCGCTTGATTATTTTAATTGATTTTTTTTTTCTTGCTAGTGTTTTTCTTGCATCGTTTCTTTGGCTTATGTGTAAAAACTGAAAATGGGATGGTATTTATTTTTAGTGGTGTGAGAAGAAGCTTGCATCTGCACCTTCCCGGCTGGCTGTGAGTTCAGCCAGGCCAGTGCAGGTGGTGGCACTGAGTCGAGGTGACTGCAAGGAACCACTAGTCGAGGAGAGGGAGAGGAGTTAGAAATTAAATTAAAGCTAGTAGATGTGTTTGCGACCTCCAAGAAATTAAACTTCCAAGCTTGATATTTCCAAGTTAACATTTTAATAATTATGATTCTGCATGTAACTTCCTAGTTCAAAACAACAAAAAGTTGTGAAGGGAGAGCACAAATGTTGTGTGATATGGACATTGGGATTGGAGCTTTTAGATCTAGGACATGGACATCACTGTTGCTTGAATTAAGGTGGGAGCTGGGAGAAGTCCTGGACTGTGTCCCAAATCCAATGGTGTGAGCTGGAAGGCTGCTTTGCTAAACTGTTGCAGAGATATTGGTGTTAAAGATGTGGGCTTGCTATATGGATGAGAGATGGCACTTTCCATTCCTGATGTGCCTGATCCTGTTCCATGAAGATTTTTTTACAGGGAATATCTGGCTCTTCACTAACCAAGGCTTAGAGGAAACTTGACTGAGCTGCTTTGCGGGACTGGCACTTGCGCTGTGAGATGCCGTAGCGAAGCTCACTGAGGATACATCCTTTTGGAGACTAGTTGTTAAGCTCCAGCAGGTCTCATCATTAAATATTTACAGACTCAGATTTCTTGAAGCTTGTAGCTCGTCCAAATCTGGGCAGATTTTTCACAAAATGAGCAAAGTATAGATCTTGCAGAAAGGTTTTCAAGCCTGATTTCAAGATGGTGATTCAAGGCACAAAAGTACTTGCAATTTTTCAAGGGTAGCGCCTTTCAAAGGAGAGCTTTTTCTCCTACGTTCTTTCATGGTATAAAAACTTTCCAGCCATTCTTTTTAAAGGTGCTTGTGGGAGGAGGTTGAAGAAAAATCATGTGGAGTGGACACTTGGCTTGGAAACATTTAGACTAAGTAGCAAGCTTTTAAGCAACTGCAAGTGGTCTTAACAAAGAACTGTCAGGTGGTTTTGGCAATAGCTGCCTCACAGAACTACTTCATTAGGGCTTATTCTAGGTATTTATAGAATAGGGTGGTAGTTTAGTTCTTATCCTTTTCTTTACATTTTCAGTAATTTTTGGCCATCTTTTGTTCAACACATGTATATAGAATTATATATATTAATATTTTCTTTAATTAACCTTGAAAATAACAAAGTAAACTGTTTTCTGCATTACTTTGACATGTAGCTGATATAAAGTACAAGTCCGCTGTGAAGCCCGAAGGGAATAAATCTCGAATCAATTTAGTAAAGATGCTAGTGAAGCATAAGAACAAGGCAAGTGGAAGTGATAGGCTAACCTTGCTTTGCTAGAAGAATCTTACCATGTTTGAAGAACTGCCCTCGTTCTTTGACCGACTGGTGTGAAGTGCCCCAAAATAGATTTCAGTCCTTCCTCAGTTTTAGATTGTGAATAGATGCTTTAGATTTAAAAAATATGGTGCTCATGTCATTGCACAGCTGGTCAAGGACTTGGCCAAAGTTCCTTTCAAGGTATTAGGCATTACCTCTAGAGCAACCAAAAACTACCGTTATATCGGTCTCGATGGCTACACGCTGAGTTGCAGAGTAATGAGTATCAAGGTGAAAAACAGAAATCTGGATATGGATTCCTTCCTTCTCCTCCCCACCCCCTTTCTTTTTTGGTCGTAGCAGGATGATTCTGATGGACCTTAAAAGGCAAGGAAAAAGATGCCGTGGAGTTCAGCTTGGCAGAAGGGTTTTGATACTGTAAGAACATACATAATTTATGTAGGTCTTATGTAGGTCCTTAGCACTTGAATACTAAAATAAAGGTGGAATAACAATCAAAAGAGCAGTTGCTGGAGCAGAATAATAGTAAATGTTAAGTGTAGGAATTGTAAGGTAGGAGTTGATTTCCATTCCCTAAAACACTGTTTTGTCTTTTAAACCTTTTGCTTTTGAGCCTCTCTGTGTAATTTTGATGAGAGTACTGTAATATATCACTGTATCTTTGTCATCTTTGTGATTGATATATGTATGCTAGTAAGAGAAATAGTAGTATGCAGAAGACTGCGTGTCTTGGAAAACCTGGAAAGATAAGCTTTGAGAGCGAGGCTTGTGCTTAAAATAAGGATATCTTGATGGAGATGTAGAAAAGATTGTGGGTGAAGAATATATAGCTTTCTTATTTCCAT